ATCATTTCTTCTCTGTTTGTCTCCTACATCGTCTTCTTTCTTTCTGACTCTCCTGCTGTTACTTTCCTTGCATCTCCCCCACCTTGCTTTCTGGCTTTCCCTCCACCCCCCTTGTTTATGGCGTCTGTCAGGATACCTGTCACTCTCTCTCTCTCTGCCTCTGTCTCTCCTGTGTCAGACTCTATCCGGCCATCTCAGCCCTAGTTAAGATCTATTTCCCATCATAGCCCTATTCTTATGCTTTACATTTGAGCTTTACAATCCCTTCATATATTGCTTCATTCTGAACAGGCTAGAATATGCTTAATAATTAAGGCTGTAATTAAAGTGTAAGAGCAATTATGATTAAAATGCATTTTAGTGGATCCTGGAATGATGAAGCAATTAGGCATTTTGACATGTCACCGAAGGAGCCGCTTAGGGGGGACGATATGTTCTAGAGAGCTCCTTGCTGCCCTCTTTCCCTGACCGGGCCCACTGGCCCTACTTGGAGCGAGGCCTCTCAGGCCTGAGACATAAGCAGTGGTAAGGCAGGAGGCCTGGCAACAGCTGAGTCCTCAGTGGGGCAGCAGCGCATAGCCTGCTGCAGCATGGCCCTCTGCAGCCCCAAGCCCTTGGAGCCCCCTCCAGACAGCTGGGTCTGGGCCGGGGAGATGGCTCAGTAGAATAAGTGCTTCCCTGGCAAGCTCAAAGGCCTTAGTTCAGTCCCCAGTTCCACCAAAACAAAACAAACAGCCGGGTCTGATGTCAGTGCCTGCCTTTCCAGTCTCTGTGTCAACCCTCTTTGTGGGGCAGCAGCAAGGGAATCGGGAGACACATATCCACATCTCTTCCGGGACCCGTTTCCTGTGGTGATCTGTTAGCACACATAGAGAACGCAATGGGTGTGTTAGGACAAGGCAAGTTTCCCCAGCTGAAGCATCTTTTCAGTGGGGAAGAGGGACGTAGCACTAAGCCTTGCATAATCTGTGTTCTGGATTTGAAAATACAGACTGCTCTGGAAGCTTATTTAACAAGCCTCAGCTTTAATTGGGCATTTGGAAGGCGGTGCAAAGGAAGGCCCTTGACATCCAAATGCTCAAGCAAGGGCGGCAGCAGGAGTCAGGTTCCCTGCAGGCACAGCTCAACTGGACGGTCATTGGTCATCGATTTCCGAATCAGTCCTGCCCTACCCCCTTGGGAATGCTGATGTTAAGTCAGATGCTGAAGAAGCTCTTAACTAAGGAACTGGATTCTTTAGACAGAAGAACAGTCCTTTTAAGTTATTTCAAATACAAACATATAATGTATTTTGCTCATATCCGCGGCTCCCTATTACCCACCCTTATGCTAAAATGTGGCACTCACCAGAAAGGTGAAAGTAGAGAAGAGAGTTAGGGAGAGGGGGCATGTGGGGGAGGGGCAGTAAATTATGTCACATGCATGTGCAGAGCTGCCAAAATGAAACTCATTAATCTGTAACCAGTATGTAGCCTTAAACAAACGTGCAGGACAGGTACTGCAGAGCTTGCTCACTGTGCACATGTGCAGAGCTGGCTGACCCATTCTCAGAGTGGGCAGGAAGCAGCATGGCACACAGCGCCAAACCCAGATGGTGCTCCAGCTGCTGGGTGTGAAGACGCGAAGGTGCTCCTCAGAGAAAGGGAGAAGACCTTTGCTATCTTAACTTAGGTGTCTGACCATGTCTCTGTTGAGAGGTAAAAATTTATACATTTAGCTTTTATTTTTATTTATTTATTTTTTTGCTTTGTAATCAGTATATTAAGAAGACATTCATACATTTTAACAGCTGCTTAAATTCTGATACCAAGAATAAGCATGTGAACATACATGCAAGTAAAGCTATTCATCCTAATTTGCTATACTATTGCCATTAAATTACAGTTACTTTGGAATGTTAAGTCAGATGGGTCATTCACCTCTACTCCCAAGAGCAATGCGCATCTGTGTCCGTCCAGGGCTCTGGCTTCACACTCTGTCATTGCTCTGAGAGAGCCATGTAAAGATTAATGTCTAAATCCCTCCACCTCTTGTCTCACACCTGCCCCCCTCCAGTCTCCTGTCCTGCTTTACAGCCTCTTGGACACTGGCTGAAACTTTACCAAATGCATCAGAATCCACACTGAGGTTGTATTAATGAAATAATGAGCCTTTACATCTGTGTTAGTTATCTATCCATGTGTATAACAAATTATACCAAAACTAAGACCTAGAATGTAGCTCAGTGGTACAGCACTTGCCTAGCATGGACAAAGCCCTAGGTTCAAGCCCCAGCACCACAAAAGGAAAACAAAAAAAGGGCCCTTCTTCCCCATCCCCCTAAAATAAAATCTCCACAGCACTGCAAAAAAAAAAAAATACTTATCCACAGTGTCTACACCTGGGAATAGAATGTGGTACATCTGGGTCCTCCCACTTAGGGTCTCTCAGGGTATCAGCTGGGCTGAGGACATCTTCGTCTAGGGAAGAGCTCACGTTGGTATGTTGTTCCTCAGGGTTGCCTGACTCATGTCCTCACTCCTTCTCGGCTCCTGGCCAGAGGCTGCCCTCTGGCGCTTGCCAATGGGTTTCTCCAGAGGACCACTCCCAGCATGATTGTTGGCATCGGCAGAGTGAACAGATGAGGAAGCAAGACAGAACCAGGCTTTTGTAACATGTCTCAGAAGTGGCATTCCAGGGCTTCCCCTTGTTCCCACTCCTCAGAATCCAGGCCCTGAGTCCTAGCCACACTCGGGATAAGATATGTAAGGGCAGGAGGTGGGGTGACTCGGTTGATCATTTAGGATCCATTTATTGTAGAAGTTGCTTACACCTTTGACAGAAACATGTTAATGTGATGCACATTAGTGCTGGAATGACAGGCAGGGGCTTTTGCCATTGACAAAATGCTTTCATGGCTATCTTTTCATTAGCTAATCATTGCAAATTATGGTATTAGCTGTACTGTCTTCACTTTAGAAATAAAGTAGATCAGCAAACTTCAGGGAGCAAATTCAGTTCCCATCTCTGCCACTTCCAACCTTTGTGTCCACAGAGGAGTTACTTCATTTCTGGGCCTCACTTGCCTCATTTATAAAAGAGAAGCGGTAGGACTCGCTCGTAGTTCTTGCAGAGATTTGTATGCTACACGTCAGCTACTCGGCATTCTGCCTGGCATGCATAATCACTTAATGGGTGTGGGTTCTGAGGAAGATGATGAGTATATGTGTGGAAATAAAGAAGTTCAGACTCAAAGAAATTAAATAATATATCCAGAACTATGCAAAACAAATGCACTGAAGAAGGTGAGCATTGTAGGGTCCAGCAACATCTCAGATTGTTGCTTCCAGAGAGGCCTTTGGTCATGTGCCTGTGCAAACCAGCCCCACAAAGAAGCCTCAGCCCCAAACAGTAGCAAGTGCCGCCTTCATAACTGCTCAGTGGACTCCTGGTCCCAGGAGTGCCCACGCTGCCTCTCCTTGTCAGCTAAACCACCACTGCCTCACTGACATTTGTTTCTGCATATGAATCAAGCTGACCAAATGCCCATCTTCCTTTACACTGTGGTAAACTGCTTCTGCAGTGCCTGATTTCACTGTCTTTGTTTATAGTATGTTCTATCTTGCTAACCGAGTAAATGCACAGGAAATGATGTTGGCCAAGACAGTTCTCTCATTGGTCCTAACTATTATTCACTGAGAAAACAGGGAGAAAATGTCCTGATTAGAAAGGCAGTCCCTGGGAACATCCTTGGATAAGGTCGGCTGGCCAGCTGGTCATCAGGAACTGTCAAGAGCAATCAACAGACCCTGCTCTGCTCACACTCAATACCTTTGCCCTGTCTAGAGAGTGAGGAAGAAAAAAAGACACTTTGGGTATTGCCAGGGTCTGCAGTGTGCTGGATTGGTGAGCACAGACAGATTCTCAGAATTTTCACTTCAGGTCAGATCACAGCCTGGACCCCTGCCTTCCAAGAAATCTTCAAGCCAGGTGATTTCTGGGATGGGCTACAACCATGTTAAGTCCACTTGACTGGATTAACAGATATTTCAGCTTCTATCAGTAAAATTCATTTCCCTCATGAAAATCCCTTATTTCATCTTTTACAGTTGGGTTACAACTTGAACAGATACTGTCATGTAATCTTTCCTATTAATGATGTTGATTAGAATTTAGGTTTAACTCATGTAGCAAAAAATTTATAGGTAGGTTAGCCCACATTCTTGGGCACTACCCCATATCACGCCCGTGTCCACATTCAAATGAATGTGTCACTCTCTTCTCAAGGGAGTTTTTTCTTTCTATACTCAAGACTCTGGAATATGGCCAGTTCAGAGAACTTTCTCATTCTAACTCACTGAACAATCTTTCTTTGTATATGCTATAATCTGAAAGGAAGCTCAACTTCCATTTTTTAAGTGCCAAAGAAATATAGGCAGTATCTTTATACACTAGATAATTGAAGTGAAAGAAAAAAAAATCTCTGAAAGGTACAGGTGGTACTGTGAAAGGGAAAGAATCTATTCAAAAGGAAGGAGCAACTGGGATGAGAAGAAGAACAAAAGAAAGAAGGAAGGAAAAACAATGTACTTATGTATATATACAGGATAGCTTGGATAACTATACTGCTGATTTCTGCTGGTCTATTGAAAGGAACAGTTAATGCTTTATTTTTTTCTTCTCATTTTTAATTTCTTATAACTTTTTAAAAATAATTTTGCATATTTGTATCTCCTAATCTAAACTAATTTGAAGACAATATTATGCAATATAACAGCCTTTGCTGAATTCTTATTATTTTATGTAGTGAAATTCTGTATCATATCTAACTTTTTTACTATTTTTGATTATCTAAATAATTAAATAAATTTGTCATCAAAGTATATAAGAGGCCACATCTAGATAATAAAGAACTGAAACTGTAATTAGTTGTGTTGGGCCAGCCATTCCAGGTCCTAGGAAACTTGGCAGAGCACGAGCTGCAGTTTCATCCAGTGACTGTCTGTCCTTCTCCCTTCCAGGAACTAATGTCCAAGAGGCTCAGAACATACTCAGAAACAGCGGGCTTCCCATCACCTCAGCTATGGACCTGGAGGACGCAGCCAAGAAGGCTGTGGCCAGTGTGAGAAAGAAGTGATGTCTCCTTGGGGCTGTTTTCCCAATGGCTCCTTCATTGTGAAGAAGAGGGTTGGGGGGGGGGAGACAAAACGGTTCACTCACTGGGAGAAAATGGGGAAGATATGAATAAGAATCACTGTGAAAAATCTTAGATCTGTGTCCTCTTAGATAAATTACCCAGACATCCTAGTCTGATCTTACATATGTAGTCACTCTAAAAATAATGTCCTCTATTTGCAAGCACTTGCCAACTTTGGGGAACAGTCTCTGGCCCAATAATGTGCATATATACACAAATTTAACTAAGGCATGCCTTGGCTCATTGAGAAGAATATTGATGAATATTTACCTTATGGTAGGAAAAAAAACACGAGCCATAGCAACCTCAAATAGGATTCCAGTTAACATTTTAACTGTCACAAGGGCAGAGCTAAGACATTGAAGCAAATAGTTATTACACACTAGCAGTTTTTGTAAGTTTCTAATTACAACACATCTTTAGAAAAAGTTAGGAATATTCTAAATACATTTTACAGTGGAAGTTCTACATTAATATGCCATACATGTATTTTACCATTTGCCTTAATATTGAATATTGTTTACTTCATGCTAAAAGTACAGCCAAAAGCCTTATTTGTGATTTTGAAGTTTCATTTTAATTTCACTGCTAATGAAAGCTGATTCTTAGGGACATCTCTGTAATTAAGTCATGTCATAATGAGACGACTCTGAAGATGGAATTATATTGAGAACATCCTTTCTCCTTACTGACTGTCATCTTGCAGGATCTACCACCCTGCAGTAGGAAAATGGGAAAAGGTAATTTTGAAGCGATATGGCTTTTTTTCATAAGGTCTGTTTCTTTTGTGTGGGAAAAATGTTTAAAATTAGGTTTATATTTAAATTTTGGTAAAATTTTTACCTTTATGCAAATTTCAATAAAATCCTACATTTTTTAAGCACTAAGATACTTGTGTACTTCTCATTTCAGTCAATTTTATTCCTTAGACCTCTTTTTAAAATAAAATGCTAGCCTTCATGCCTTAGGCATAGCTCTAAATTTAGAAAATCTCAATTGTCCAGGGATCGTACTATTTCCATTCCCTTTATCAGATGAACATTTCTGTGGTAGAAGATGATTGAGTGAAACAATGAAAATTATGTACAAAGCAGGCACCCAGGAAACTCATATATCTGGCAAGTGAAAGTGTGTGTGTCTGTGCTATCCTGTGGCCACACACTGGCGTTCACTCTTTCCATGGTGGGGCTCGCTTAGCACCATCAACAATGTCCTTCCGATGCAGAGCTGTTGACCCAACCATGCAATTTTATTTCCCTTTGACCAGCCTACATTGTTCTTAGAAGTTTTATGTATAGCAAACTTTAAAAATCAGTATTTTATAAGTTCACATTTCCATATAGAAATAAACTATTGGACAGAGCAACCTACTATTTATTAAAGGCTATGCAGTTGAATGCAATAAAAAAATGTCTTTTAAGATGTGTTTTGTTTTGATAGCTTAATAACTAGTTAGTATGGTGAAAAGAAACATTCATTTAGTCGATTTTCTAGCAATCAACATATTTGAATATTTACTCTTTGAAAATGGCCTGTGTTTGAATCTTCTGTAAATGTTGATGTTTCTAATCAACCAGGTTGGAGAATGAGACAAAGGAATTAAGCAATTCATAGAATTATTTTGTAAAAGAGATAATAATAGGCAAATAGCTTTTATTTTTCAAAGAAAGTAGATTGTCAAAATTATACCTTTTAATTTTTTTTTCCTTAGAAGTTGCAGCTTTGTGTATTTATGCTTCTTGGATGGTATCCCTGGCTCTGTTCAGAGTATGTGTTCTGTAGGTATTTGTCGAAAAGATGGCAGCCACATGGGCCCATGTATAGGGACCCTGTGATGTGGATGATTACTGTACCGTCTGAGTATGAAACTCGAGTATTCTACCTGAACCACTTCATATGCAGAGTTTAGCAGGCTTGCTGTTCTACCATAGACTGGTACATCTCAAAGAATAAGTATCAAATTTAGAGATTTAGCCCTGAAACTACCACTTAGCATTGTTTAATTCTTTGAATTCTTTGCAGTATTTGTCTACTCTTTCAGTTGAGACAAAAATCTTAACTTTAAAACTTTAAAAAAGAATAACATCTGTTGCGCTCTTGAGATTATAAAAGCAGAGGTTTGTGGTTATCAGCACAGCTGGATACAGAGACAAGCCCATTAGCATCTGGTCTCTGTCCTCTCGCCCATCTCAGCCCTGTTGATTTCATACTCAGGTAAGACCACCTGTAGGCTGTGGGCCATCCCAGGTGCACAAGAGAGGGAAGGGCAGGGAGAGTAGACAAGATTAAGTGAAAGAGAAAGGGAGAGTGGAAGGAAGAAACTTCTCTCTCTTCGTAGTTCTAAGCCACATCCCAGAACTCAGTACTGATGGCTCTAATGGCCAGATTAGGGTTAGAAACCTATGCCTGGACCAGCTCTGAAAAGGAAGCTACAGTGTTCTGCTAGATCCAGCCTAGGTTGAAGGCTGAAATTAACGAAGAGGTATGCTGAGAAAAACTGCAGCCCCAACATGAATAACGGTACACAGAGGCAAAAAAGAGGTGTCAGCCATAATCATCAGCTAAAGTTACTGCCCCTCTAAAATATTATGATTCTATTGTCCTGCATTCGCATTCATTCCCTGAAGTCCTTTTTTCCTCATCTAAGTGTGTGGATCCTCCTCAAGTTATCTAAGTATGTCTTGATCTGTAATGTCTATGTGAGAAATAATAGCATAGGGGCACCTAGTTCTGTTATGGTCTTACGCTTTATGTTGTAGTTCAATTCCTGGATTAGTAAAATAGCCAAGAAAAATTTTAAATAACCTGATGAGACCTGTAAATCATTTTTAATGAGTGATTAAAAATGTCCACTTCTTGGGCTGGGAAGATAGCTCAGTAGAATAAGCACTTGCCTGGCATGCACAGGGTCCTGAGTTCAATCCCTAGTACCGTAAAGAAAAAAGTCCACTTGTCAATTTTCTCTCTGAGAAAAAGTGTCATCCTGAAGAATTATATTTGTTTTTAAAATTGAAAGGCTTAATAAAATAAAAATACATTTTTTACATTTCTAAAGGAAAAAATTTAAAATTATACTTTTTGAGAATCACTAAGTGTTCAAAAGTAAAATAAGTGTAAGAAACACAGACAATAGTAGCAAAAAAAAAAAAAAAGGAAAGACAATGTCTTTAAACTTTTGGATATGAAGGTGGCAAAGGTGTAAAGGTCTGTTTTACTAAATTAAACTTAACTGGGACACAGTGACACTGTCTATGCAAATCATATTTGTGACTGGGTTTATGCTTCAGCAGCAGAGTCATGTATTTGCAATAGAAACCTTATGGACCTGAAATGACCTTTCAGCCCTTCACAAACAAGGTTCACCTACCCTTGGCCTATATAAAATTTATTAAAATACATTCTTCCCCTGAATGACAGCAACAGATTGTTTGAGATCTAGAAAAGACAGATGTAGGTACTAAAGTGAAAGAGAAATGGGGGGGGAATAGAAAATAGGTCTTCTGATCTATTTTAAGCCCCATGAGAACTTGGGAGTCTCTACAAAGCCACTTGCCAATGAAAACCTATCCAGCTATGTAAATCTGTGTCTTTCCATCACAGGAACTGTCTGCTTGTTGTGCTTTTGAACATATGCTGTTCTTAACTACAAGAGGGGTATTGGAATAGTATCCAGTCCTGGATATGAATATTAAGTTTCCCAATGGCTATATCAATCAGTCATTCTCAAAGTGATTCTTGCTCCTGACTGCTGTGTATTTCATGAGTCTCTGGGTCCTAGAAAGATAAAAAGCAAGAAAAAACGTGACTTTTGGGGGAGATGAACCCCCACAACATTACTGTAAAGTTATTCTAGTTAACTAGTATGGAAATTATAACATAAAGTTTCTCCATCAAAGTTTCATAGTTCCTGGCAAAAGTTTAGACACTTGGACTTTTGATACTTACAAGTTTGCCATTTCATCTGTTGTCCAAGAGAACATCCTGTGACAATGGCACTGGTAAGTATCAGCACTGTCCAATACCTGGTCATTGAGGTGTTGACTGTTGAGCACTATGAACTAAATTTTTAGGTCTGTTTAATTAACAGCTACATGTGGCTGGTGGTTGCTACATGGACAATGAAGCTTTCTAGTCTCAATTTAATGGGATGTCTTACTTTCATTTCAGAAGAGCTCACATTGATTAAGGAACGTACCCATTTTAGCCTAATTAAGCCTCTTTTACAAGTGAGAATGTTGTGTCCCAGAGAATTCCAGAAATATAACTAGTATGTGGCTGGTCCAGGCTGAAACTCTGCTCTTTGGAGTCCAGAGCCTCTGCTCTTTGTTTTATATCTGTAGGGACTCAAATTCACAATATGTGTACCATTTGTAGTCATGATGACTCAGTATGCTATGAACAAAGACATACAGCAACCTGAGTTCTTGACTGTATCATCTGCCAAGTAAATTCCACACTTTGGGAAGCAAAATATAAAGGGTGACAGAACATAGTATGTATTGGGCAGGTTGTGTGAACTACACTAAATGACATCTCTCATACCTGCAAAATACTTAAAGCTAGGGCCATTCTCTAAGGAGCTGATCCAGTGGCATGTTAATTCATTGCCTTTCCATCATCCAAAATTATGAACTCCCCAAAGCCAAAGGAACAGAAAGGGTAAGAGCCAGATGCTTTAGTTAACATTTCCATGATGGCACTGAGCCCCAGGAGAGGGCCTAGGACATACTTGCATATACTCAGAGGTAGATGACAATCACAGGGAATCAGAGAAAGTTTGCCCACATCTCATCAGAATGAAGAAAATGTGAACAGAGTACTTGTGTTCATTGTGAGCGAGAAAAATGGAACAGCATGCTGTGTGTGCTTCACATAAAAGGAGGCTTGATGTAAATGGACCTAAAAGTAAGAGCACCATAAAACAAATAATCTCTTTTGGATAAACGTGTATCTCAGAAAACTAAGCATCTTCAGAATAGCTTCGTGGCATGGATCCTGAGAAAATTCAGTTAAGTAAGAAAATAATTCACAACTGAAGAATAGAAGAAAAGGTAAGCAAAGAAGCCAGTTGAAGACCAGGGAAAGAAAATCAATGCTGAAAAACTAATTGATAAATCACACACAAAAATAAAGAATTCTACAAAACAAGAGACAGGAAAAGGAATATTGTGGGACTGTCCTGCTTCAAGGTTGTATATGGTTGGATTTTTGAATTTATGTGTAAACATAAGCATATAATTCTTTATGCCTATTTTTAAAATATATTCTAATTTTTAAATG